AATGAGTTTAAGGTTTCAGTTTGTGAATACATGATGTTTATTTTATAAATTGCTCCATTTAGAGTGAAACAGAGCTCAACAGTGAAGAGTAAGCATCCATATTCTGATTAGGAGCCATAATATTGCAAACAAAGTAAACTTGGATTGTGAAACAATGGCAGCTCCTGTAAAAGGTCTGTGAGCTCTCTGATTTGTGGAGGTCACAGTTACTGTGGAAATGTTTAAAACCACAAACGTCACATCGCTCAGTGAGAATGAAACTTAAGTAACCACGACTGTACCATGTTGAAAACAAGATTATCGATTGTCTAATCTATTTATCAATGAATTTGATCCAAATCAAATCTTTTTATGATCACGTTTCACCTCACCGCTGGTTGGCTTGGTTCATATAAGTGTTGTGCAGCAGGATAATTAACATGTATTTGGGGCATGTATACTCTGTTTCCTACTCCTGCATAATATCCAGTTTTAAAACAACAGCAGGTCAGCCGGAAGCTTCAGAGCAGGATTTATGTTTGTGACATATTTACATTATAAACTGCTGCTGTACTGCAAACCTGAAGCTCCTAATGAAAATAAATCACTTTACTGCACAACTTTGTCTCTGCTCTAATCCTCCTTACATGCTGATCAAAACTTATTTGTGTCTCTAGGATCAGTACCAGCTGTGCTACCGGGCTGCTCTGGAGTACCTGGGAAGCTTTGATCACTATGCAACATAACCCCACCCAGAAAGATGCCTCAGAGGAGATCTGTGTCTCTTCTGAGACACATCCACTCTGCTCCATTGGCCCCTGCAGGCTGATGAGGAGGCTCTGAAGAGGACGGATGAGGAGATGACCACAGCAGGAATCAGGAGAGATTAATGGAAAGAGGAGAGGCGATGTGATGACCTCCCCCTCCTGGACTGGTGCCATGATTCTGCCACAGACCCACACAAAAACCTCCCAAAAAACAACCCTGAAAGACTCGTACTGTACTCACGCCTCATTCTGATCCCTGCGACTCCCCGATTTCTGCCTCCTCTAAATAGCAAAAACTATTTTTCTGCTACTTTCATTTATATCCATCATTACTATGTTGTTAGCCATTATTAGAGTTTATTTTGTGATCACTTACATTGGTTACTATATGTCTTAATGGGTCTTTTCTTAATTTGCCTCTTATGTTTCTTAATTTCTAATAGAGGACATGTATTTTCAACATGATCCAAGTCATTAATACTGGACGCCGTATATTCACAGCTGCTAATGATTTTTTTATTTTATACCACAGATATGATATTCTAATGTTTATCGTTATTCGGTTGGTCTTATTTAGAGGGAAACTTGGAGAATGATGATCTCTACTAGACAGATCAACTGAGCAAATAAGGTTTGTGACCTGCAGTATGAAATACATCACAGCTATAAATGTGCAAAGACTCATCACATCTGAAGAACTGCAAGCATGTACAGAGTTTTTTGTCATTAAATAATGTTCTCAGAGTCTTCAGAGATCTGGAGGCTCCCAGCAAAAGAATAATGAAGCAGTTGGAAAAGTTGTGGACTCAGGTAGACCAACACAGATGGCCTGTTCGTGAGGTTTTTGTGAAATAAGTGTGACGTCAAATGCAGAGCTCGTGCTCCACACGTGAAAAATGAAATTCTGACACCGGGAGAGAGAAAAAGAATAAAAGCCAACATCAGAAGATCCTCTGTGAGCAGCATTAGTGACAGTGAGGACAAAAAACGACCTTTTAACAGGAAGAGACGTCTCACAGGGCCAGACTCAGAAAGGAACAGCCATACACAAAATACTACAATACTAATACTTACTGTCCATTGGGGGAATGAAGGGAAATAGAAGCGAAAATCGTGAAAATGAACAACAGACAAGTTATGGGAAAGAGCAGACAATATTCTGGATGAATTTTAATCAGATTGGTTTTGTTGCTTCTCCTTGAAGGATTAACTTCACTCTTATTTCTGTTATTGTCAGCAAATGCCATAAAAAAAACAACAGCACAAGTTACACACTGCAGTGTAGGAACAACAACCACAACCAGGAGCTCTGGTAGACTTTCTTTGCTTAGCTGTGATCAGCTCACATGTGCTGCTGCGACGCCAGTACTCGATGCTCTTTGAATTCAAAAGGATATCAGGTGATGTTACATGAACCATTGTGACTGATTTCTAATCCCCAGATACTACAAAGCTGGAATAAAGGTGAACTTCAGTGAGTGAATCATCATCACCTTAAATTTCATTTGATTTCTGCTGATATAAACCAGCGCAGACTGTGAGCGCTGCAGCTTCTCTGCACTGTCAACATCATGCATTACTGTGAACATCACCACACTGCTGCAAACGAACCTGTTTCACCTTGCACTAAACTGGTATTTTTATGCAACGTTCAAATAACACAAAGTTAGCAGACTTCAATTTGCTTTAAAGTTTTAAATTTAGGGAGAAAAAATGTCACATCAAGCATTGATCTGATATCTGGAAATTTTAAAATGGCTTAAAAAATGACATGTAGGCAGTGGTGATGGCGCCATGTTGCTCACAAGACAACAGGAAGAGTGTTTCTGCACAGCAACACAAATCAGCACAGTTAAAAATTACTATTAACAGGAGACTTGTGTTTGAGACCTATTGGAGTTTGTTTTTAAGTTGAAGTTTAGGCTAAAATAGACTTATAATAATCAGTACACGTTACCAAGTTCAGCTTTCTAGCCTGCTACTTTTTCACATGACCACAAGAAACTGGAACACTCTCTGGCCTGATGTGGCTCTTTGGGATTGTTGAAGAGGCAAACTTAAGATGCCAACAGCCTTACAGAGGCTCAACTGAGGGGCAAGCAGCGTGACACGTCTGGGGCTACAAATGTGCCACATGTTTTATGACTGGCAGCTCCTGTGTGGACCAGACATGGATAAAAGTCAGGAGATGGGCTTAACATTAAAACGAGTGTTGTGTGGGCCAGATATGACCCAAATGTCCAACAACATCTGGCATCTTGTCCAAATAAGGTGGACCTGTGGCTGAATTTAGGGAGGCAGACTCAGCCTGAGTCAGGTCCATCACCCAAGGATAAATGCAGCTCATGGAAAATTTCATGTGGGCCAAACATTTATTGGTGTCTGGATATGAGATAAATAAGGATTTTTTTTATTGTAAATCATTTAATGCTCCTGTAGTGGACTACAAACTTAAAAACAACAACAACAACAACAGGGAAATGGTTCTAGAAACAAGCTAAATAGGCCCTCCGTTAACATTAGGGGTTACTAATGTGAAAAAGCTCTGCTGTGACATGCAGCCTGACGCTCGTACTCATTTCACAAAGATTCTCCACATTGTGTTTGTACAAAAACAGCCCAGTTGTTGTAAAGCACACTGAATATGGACTCAACATCCTACAGTACAAGACAGTCATATCTCACACATTCACTCATCTCCATCTGCATACATGATTTTACATTGACAGGCTGCATTTAAACGGGATCCCCACCACAGATAACTCCCCTCTTTTATCACTGTGTTGCAGGCTGAGAGAACAACATCATTGTTCATTGATGCATCGCTGCGTTTTTCATTGAAAGATACAGTGAGGTGGTTTTTGAATGATGCGGACCACTTAAAGGATTCATTTCTCATAGTTGTGCTGTAGGGGTCCTAACTGTTGTATAAACGATCTGTTTTCTATTAAAAGCAGAGAAAAAATGTCTTCAAAATCTTGATGTTAATAAAGCTGAAATGTTGGGTTTTTCATATAAAAGCAGTGACTTCTTTCAATTTTTATAAAAATGTGACGTGCACCCGGTGGACCAAACAAATATGCCGCTTTGCTGTCCTCGTGTGACTGTTTGATGTT